AAACTGAATCGTCTCTTAACCATTAATAGTTTTATGTTTTCTATAGGGAGATGTATCACAGTTTCCTTTATCATCGGCCTAAAAAAATCACATATTTTGAAAGTATACAAAATGAGAGGATGAACTACATTGTATTCACGATCGGGAAAAGCATAATTTTTAGTCAAGGTCTTAAGTTAATCTTTGTATTTCATTAGCAATATTTACACATTACATCACGCTGTGCTATTTTTACTTTCTCCCCTTATAACTTTGGTTAATCATTCCCGTTCTTGTGAAGTTTAAAATTACATCTGGACTAAAATACATAAAATGTTGTCCCCTGTGTAAATCTTGTAGTACTTTTTTCTTTTGGGTAGGGGTTGGTGGGTGGTGATGGGTGGCAAGATATCAGTCTGTAATCCCTGTGTTAGTTTCGTACTATAAAGCCAGTGCCATACTTAAGTCCGCTGTGCTACTACTGTGATATATCATCGATCCTCTATTTTTTTTTTCATATGCAGCAGTAATTTCCTGCTATTAGTTCGCGTAGCATATAATTACAGTGATTAGTTGAGGTATGGTATGTATCCCTATAATTGTCGCTACATCTCTGAGGAAGAATAACTGCACTAAGATATACTTGCTACCGACAGATACAAATCAAGATTTATCATGTTTCAGAATTGTTGTGTAAACATTCCGTCAAATATCAATTCGTTCAAAATTGTCAAAAAACATCCATTTCATTGCATCGGTATAACAGTAATGCACGCATAGCACCGACGCCACATGGATCCAAACAGATTGTAAATAAAATGCCGGGGGAGTGCCGTTAACAATGCGAACGAACGTACGGGAAAAGCCAAACAATGTGGTAGTCGACGTAGACGACGTTACATCTTGTTCCATACGAGTCGCAACGCATGCAACGTATGGTCTACTGGCGACATATTGCAGCTTAACGGGATTACCTAAGATTACTGAATATCGTGGTCGAATGTGCCAATCACGCAGGCGATTTCTTGAAATGATTCTCCGTTATCCGAGAATGCTTCCCACCGTCAAAGCTGCAGTTTGGAAGCGGTTCCGCATGTGTACAGTCCGGATGCAATTGTACCGACGTAATGACGTCACACGCAGACGTCCTGATATGGGGCGGTTCCTGCTGCTACCAGATTTCTGGAAACGTCTCCATAAGACATGAGTAGAGATCCGACCGATGTACACCAAAGCGTCTAGCAAAGTAATTTTTGACACACCAGCCTGTACCATTCCAAGCGCCTGGTTGCGGACATTTTCACTCAGTCTATGCATAGGTTACCCTATCACGTTCACCGGGAATAAAGTTGTTTCTTCTGATTGTCTTGGATGTAAAGATTTACACAACAGTAACAAGGTCGGTAAAGATTGTCGAACCTACTTGCTAGCAGAGCTAAATACAATATTCGGCACGTGCACAAGGACAAAGTTAAGCTCATGTACGAAACGCATTCATCGGTCAAAGTTGTTAAGAAGTGGACACATGTTATTTGTGTAAAGTTTCAAGTTGAAACATTTATTATAACTTTGCATATTTCATTTTCATGTACACACAGTTTCTGTATATTCATAATCAAAAATACACTATAAAGATCTATTTTATATGGTATGAAATTTGTTAAATTCAGTATCAATTTGATTCAAATACTGAAGTGTTTAATTTCTTCAATGACATAACTAAAGCTCCACTAATTTCCAGCTGAACTGTTCGTATTCATGCGCTCGTCGCAACTATAGATTGACACACGAGCAGCTTGGATTGGAGGCTCCTGCTGTGGTACGTCATATCCAATTGGAGGTTCCTAACTGTGCTGTGATTGGACGTTTCTATAAAGTTGTGTGAGCAGGAAGGGGTGGTAAAGAGAGAGGGAACGATCATGCTGGTTCCTATTTATTTTTAGGAGGTGAAATCATTTTTTATGCTAGATGTAACAATTATTTTAACAAGTTATTTGCGATCGTATTATTCTGCAACCCAATTTACTTAAAGTATGTACTTGTCGACAATGCACAGGTGCTTGTTTGCACGAAACAGTAGTTTTTGTATTTGTGTCACGTCGTGTTTATTTCTTTATTTAACGTAACCTCTTGGCAGAATGCACCGCGCAAACCTCTCAAAAACACATTTATTCAAACTGTCATGGAGATGGAAAACCAGAACGGCAGCTATTTTTTTTTATCTTTCATCTACCGTGTCAGTTAGTGATGTCAAACAAAATAGTGTCGTCATGATCGCATACCGTATATTTGGTGTGGATACACATGCAATTATAAAGGTTTGTCGCCATAAAATTGGGATAGTATACACAGCTTTCCTATAAGTAAAAGACGGGCTACTCGTCAAAAATTCAGGGACAACATGAACAATTTTATTATGGAAGAAATGATCGATGGCTGCTTCATATTGTATCCATTTCAACTATACAATTTAAAAAATAAATAAAAAAATAACGTCGGTTTTTGAATTTCTCGTGAATTATTCAGTGCAAGTACGATAACTCATTATCAATTTTGAAGTTCGTTTAAATCGTATCGAAGAATAAAGATAAACCATGAATAAAAATGGTCAAAGGAAACCTCCCTGCGGGACCCAATTTACTACCGGCATACTTTCTGGCATATATATCTGAGAAACTCTTTAATCCATATAACCATTACATTGCTGAACCCCCACCACCCACAAACAAACACAACATGCAAATTCGTGGAATTTATATCCCCCGCTTGCAGGACATATTGTAAGGTTAACATTATTGAGGTTAGGTTTAAAAATGTGAGTATCGTGCTGTTGAGACATAGTGTATAGTTTGAAACCTGAAGAAAAATTATGAGCCCTATACCTCATTGATAAATATTGGTTGGCAAACTTGGCATGAGTAGGATGTGTATACGGAATTTGGTTGAAACATTTGAACAATATCTACAGCAATTATCACACGAAAACCAAAGAATGCCCGATATAAGTGGAAAGACAGAGGAACACAAACATTGTTATCAAGTTTAAAGGAATTTGGCTAATATTTGCTAGAGTTATTAAGCGGAAACTGCAGATTATGACGTTTTTCGTTAATCAAGGGGCCATAACTCTGCTAAATGGAGTCTGATTAATGTGGTTGTCAAACTTGGCCGAGCCCTTAATGCGTTGAACCCCGTTACCAAGTTTGAAGAAAATCGGATAATATTTGAGAGATTTAATGAACAGAAACGGCAGATAATGACGTTTTTCGTTATTCAAGGGGCCATAACTCCACTAAATGGGCATCGGACTTTGCTGAGCCCTTAAGGAATTTAACCTTGTGACCAAGTTTGAAGAAAATCGGTTAACATGTGTTGTAGTTATTGCATGGAAACGAAGCGCGGCAGATACTGACGTTTTTCATTATTCGAGGGGCCATAACTCCGCTAAATGGAGTCCGCTGAGAGTGGTCATCGAATTTGGTTGAGCCCTTAAGGCATTTAACCATGTGACAAAGTTTGAAGAAAATCGGTTAACATTTGTTGGTAGCATTTGTTGTAGTTATTGCACGGAAACGACAAACAGACAGACAGACAGACAGACATACATACAGACAGACAGACAGACAGACAGAGAGAGAGTTGTAAACACTCCGGCCTTCCACGCAGGTGGCCGGGGTTCGATACCCGAAGTCGTCGTATGCATGGGTACCCAGAGAAAGTGTTTTTCTCCTGCCCACACATCTCCAACAACCCAGGTGGAGTATACACTGGTCTGGGGTGGATGTTGCGGTATCTGTGTTGTAGCATTCAAGTGAGGTGGCACTATAAATTATGCCGTTAGAAGCACGGTCCCACTACAAACAGAACACATTACATCTCCAGCACACATGCAGGCATACACACATAGGGAGATATTAGCCAGGTGGTATAGGACTAGTAATCCTGCGAATTCCTCAAAATTGAATTGATTATTGATTATACTAATTTATTAATTGTTTATCTATGTACTGTAAAGCGCTTTAGAGTGGATAATGTTAGTTAGATAGGGCGCTTTATCAAATTTTGCATATTATTATTTAATATCAAAAATCATAGTAACAATATTAAAATACACATACAAGACAATGTACTGAAGCGAACACACCTTACCATTAATGGACAACACACATTAATACGTACAATAAATAATTGATAAAAAAATGCATATAAACAGCGAACTGGCAAACACAGTCATATTTAGATATTGTTCACCTAGAACTGGTAAATTACTATTGAAGAATACAAGAATTCCACGGAAGTGGATGTGTCGCCTGTGCAGGAAGCTGGGAGATTACAGAGAAATAGATACACTTTTCATTTCAAGAAATAATGTTAAAAGTAAGCAATAATCATAGATTATGTTTTTGGATGGCATCATTTTGTTATATAATCTGTTATTCTGGGAAGAATTTAAGGAACTTGCTATGGATACTCATTGTCTCAATTCAATGTTTAATTTGTATGATTTGTCGGATGGTTTCCCATAAATAAATGAATAAACTTGTGGATTATGATGTTAAACAGCTAGTGTTGTCAATATCATTTGGAGTAAGACGGCATTTCAGAGGTATACACGGTGGGTCAAGTGGTTGATCGAAGCCGTCCAGTATACAGTTTTAGTGAAGTTTCTATTTATAGTAACAGAGACCTTGACCTTTGACCTGCGGACCTGAAAAGCAATCCCAAGCAAGCACTTTTGGTAAGGAAGCACTGCATGAAGTTTGAGTTTGATCGGCCGCCGCCGCCGACAAAGCAATACCTATGTGTCACCAGATTTTCGCAGGCGACACAATAAAACGGTGTCAGCTAAACCTCGCTACAAAAAGTATTGCATAAACCAACTGACAGCACATGTTGACAAATACGGAAACATCACCGAAAAGAAATAAAATAATAATTACGTTATTACAGGTCTTCAGTAATAAGAATTTAAATCACAACATATCAGTTCCTATTTAACACCAAACTGAAGAAAAGCTTACCCTGTATAAGGTGCTGGGTCCCACAACTTCCAGTGACGGGTTCAGTTCAGTAGGACGAGTTGTAAATGCACTAGGTGTTGCCTCTATGAAGAGAAGAAATGAAGTTAATAGACTGAAAGGAAAGACAGAGCGAAGTAGGCTTTAAAGCGGGAAGCTGAAATGGTCAAGCAGATATACAATGACACACACAGTTACGTCACACTTACGTGCCCACGAGACTCGGCGACAACGATTGCGGGTTCGAAGCGCAAATAAAATTTTTGTATCAGTAATACTTACTGTGTGCAATACGTTTATGCTAAGACCAATATATATTTAATTAACTAAATGACTGATCCAACAGGATGCCACATACACACGCCAAATGTATAATTGTGTTGCCGCCAACATAAAGCGGATCGTCCTCGACATATCTGTATAAAAACTATATTTGTATATATAAATCCAAACATAAATATCGAACTTGATGTCAATAAATATTTATCAACTAACGCTGAAATATGATTTTAAGATATGTGCATTACAATTTGACCATTTATTTTAAAATCAAATCAGAGTTCACATATCACTGCCGGATGGTACAAAGGAAATCAATTATCTGCAACAATGTTGATGATTGCAGCAAATCTGTTCTCTGCACCAGACGAAGACACTCCATCCTGTTTAAATGATCTCAAGTACTCAACACGTGTATGCCCCATGGTGTACTCATGGTCTACAGTTTCGCCTATGTCAACATTCACTGGATGTCGGGCGAATCTTGCAACTCGTAAGGTACCGTCACCAACAACTCTCTCTTCTCCGTCGATGTCATCATTGATCCCTAAATCCAAAACATTGTCAAAAATGGGATATGTAGGTATAGAGAATGATTCCGTATCCGAGGCTTTGATGCTAGGCTTAGACTCAGTTTTGGTGGTGTCGTGATCTGACTCCTTTTCCTAAAGGTGATGGGTCAATTTGTTCGACGAGTAGAAGCAGATTCCTGTCTTTCTGCAACCTTTACCCTTCCTGTCTACGAACATTGGCATTTTCAAGTCTGACTGATCAAGGATTGCAAGCACCTCTTTATGACATCGGTCTGCTAACGTGTGTTTCCTGTCGAAGGCTACTGTCCTTACCAGAACGCATTTTCATATGGGTCAAAAACGTAATCTTGGTATAACGTTTGTAACATACGGCCCGTTATTTCCCTTTCGACTCGGTTTCTTGTTATAGGCCGACGTTAAATGCCTATCGGTCTCGAGTTCAAACCCAAATTTCATGTTCTAATCGCCAGTATAGACACGAAAAACAACGTACTATCCCCATTCTAACACACCTCAACAAATATACTACGCTAATATGTTTAGAAACATTGTATTTCCTTGTACAAAAGTACTTTGTGACCTGAACTGGCGACGTGTCATTCTGCAGCGGACTGACCAATCGGAAAGAAGCTTTCAAAAGTCGGTCATTTAGCCCCGCCCATACTGGCGAGAGCTCGATCTGTATGTTGACGAGGCGGAATATTTGGATTGTTCGTGAACGTCCTATTACCAAAGTTTATACGACACATTCGGTTTCCTATTGAACAAGTTCATACATGTACATGTCAGTATGCATACCAATCTGTGCTTATCGACAAAATCGGTGATTATTTGTATAGATTTGTGAAGAGTTTTGTGTAAATGCATACGACACATGTGAAATGTTTGATTTGATTTCGGATCTTAATAGATGCCTTCACACGGATGGAACGAACGTGTTATTTTTACTTTTTAATTCATTCAACAAATGCATTTCATCGGTCGTTTCTGTTCTGTTGCCTACTAGCCTGTATCAGCGGGATTTCGCTATGAGGCGAGCGTGATGCCATATTGTTTTGGTTAGAAACGGGGCGTGGCTTAAGTGCGATGGGAGGAGCTTAACACGATTGATCATGATTCTATCGCAGATTAGAACATGGTCCGTATCCAATCAAAACACGCGTTGAAAACGCATCGTGTTAGAATTCACCATCATTTACAAACATACGTTGATTATTTCTTTTTAATCATAAATGCAGTGACATTGATTTAATATTACATGTGACTTCGCACCTGACCAGTTCCCTATTTTCTTTAGCCTTTGGCTCAGGGAAACCATGGGTATATTTTTCCCGGGTCGAATAGTTAGCCATATCCCAGTGCGTATAGGTAAACGCATAAAAGAGACAGATCTAACGGTAATTGTGTAATGAAAACGTTGAAAGAGCAACTCAAACCGTTTAATCTCCAGCAAACCAATATCAACTGCCATATTCATTTTTCTAAACTGAATATTCGGTCTGCCATTCAAAAGAATGGTAGCAACGATGATATCTCGAGAACAGCAACAGATCTAGTAAAATGTTACCAAAACCTGTCTGTCCAGTTGGAAAGCTCGCAGAGAAGAGTTTTCAATCTTTCGACCCTGTAATGGCCATTCTTATTTTACTCAAACGAGGCGATCCACCAACACGCTACTCCCCATTTACAGTCAGCCATTTCATGATGGAACGTTCGGTTTTAAGATACATTTGTGATAAATACTTCTAAGTCTCGGACATGAAAACCATCAGTTCCGTAAACTCGGGGGGCTTTGTCAAACTTTGTAAAAGACACCGATATATCTTATAGACTCTCATGCCTTTAACCGATATGACTATTAAACGGTATCGATATTTCACATTTCAGCTATGTGTTACATTTCTAACAAAGTTTTATTTCATTGCCTTGTCCTTTTTTGTTTCTACAATTATCCGATAATGATTTCAGGGTATATACATTTTGATCGGATTTAATAATTTTTGTTATTAGCTTATTCTGGTCTGAAATGGCCATTATTTTTGCGATGGACTTTAAAAAAAGATATCAATAAATGTAACGCACTTAATTGTGCGTTTAGTATTACGTTAATAGATGATATTTAAAACACTCTCCTACCATTGTCGTTCTGGTGATCGCTTACACTGACTTCAAACAATGTTATATGTAAGGTACTCAAATGGTTTAATGGTACAGCGTAGTATCTGCTGTCGTAAAGCAGGCTTGGAATATCTGCGTTACCCGCTTAATAGTATTTTTCAATGACTTTTCCGCACTGAAGACTTGCGCACGAATACTTCTCAAACATAACTATTTTCAGTTGGAAGATATAGAAATAAAATAAATTCAATAAACGAAGAATTGTTTTAGCAATTTTGATAACGGAAATATCTTGCAGTTTTTTTTCATTTCTCGAATGCCAATGATGAATGAGAACCATATGCAAGTTCGGAGAAAGCACAAACCTGTCGTAGGAACGAGTAATGTGGGGCCAGCTACAGACGAGAGGAGGGGCTTGGGTCGGGAACGTTCTACGGCGTCTTATCCTAAGAGGACATTGAATAAACAAAACAAATATTCCACATACTAATAACTATGTTTACTGCTATAATGCTACTATTGTTTGTTAACATGCATTAATTTGCATACTTCCAGTGCACGTAGTCATGAAACCATTATTATGTTAAAAAATGGAATCCATGCTCAAGCCACCTTTTTGCTACTCGCTTAAATCGAGAAACACTTTCAAAGAGTCGAAAGTAAACATTGCAATCAATATTCGGCTTTAATTCCCTCTAAAATTCTTTCATATCATCGACAGAAATGTGTTTTATATCAATTTATCAAGGGAACAAAACAATGAATTTGGAGCACATAATCTGAGTTTGAGCATGACGACGGTTTCATGAATACGGACCAAGATTCCACATATTTAATGTTGGTCTTTGATTTATTTGGTTTAATGCTTTTAACATCTTAGTCACAGCTAAAGTCATTCAATGACGTGAATATATGAATGAAATAACATAGGATAAAAAATGACCAGGTGTACGACACATATTCATTTGCAGTTACTGCTAAGTTGCGAATTCGTGTCTAATTTCGAGAATTAGTGAAGGTAAACTTAAATGAAGAAATATAACAATACAATCGTGAAAATTACACTAGCAGGGGTAAACTAGAAAAATACTACGAACACATCATCTGTCTTCTTTATCTTTTTCGAAGAACTGTTGACATTTTGCGAATCATCCAACAGAATATTACAAGGCATACAAAATGTACCTCTTAAGCCGAGGTTTGATGTCTTTCGATTCGGTTCACATAGCTTTAACATAAGAATTTTGTCCGCTACTGTAATGAAGTAAAGTTCCCACCCCCACTCCCAAACTAAATGAAAATTAGAGGACCTCATAGGAGGCACGGTAGCCTATTGGTAGGACGCCGGGCTCGTGACCGAAGGGTTGCGGGTTCGAGTCACGTCACGGCACTGTGTTTTATCTTTGAGCAAGTTATTTTACTCCGCTTGTTCCAGTCTACTCAGCTGTAAATGAGTACGTGGTTGGGCAGTGCTGGAATTGTTGAATGCTAGCTGTAAGCGCCGAATTGGCGGCACCGGCTGTATGATCCCCGGGGAGTTGAGAAAGATATATTGGCTGGTTGCAAAGGCCCTATAACCACGGATAATACTGTGTGAACCAATTTGAGACGACCTTCGAACTAAGTTGTGATAAAATGGTATATAAGAACCGCGAATTATTATTATTATTAATAACAATTATTATAACTTGAAGATTTTTCCCATTAGAGAACCTCGTAAAGCCGTGCCTAATAACAATAAACGAACGGTCTTTGATCTTGAAATAGCTTTCTGATGATCTCCAGGATAAAGGTATCACTGTTTAATAGCCTTGCGATAAGTCAGGTTTTGATGTCTGAAATCAATTTAACAGCTAACCGTGAGCCGATTTTGTCGTGACATTCTCCAATGATGCGAATCCTTTGATGCTGAAAATGGACTATCATCAGGAAATCTAAATCGGAATTTTTAGTACTGGAAGCATCGGCATAATTATCTTTCATTATTATCCATTAGTCGTAAGGTTGAGCTTGAACCCATCAAGTCTATAATTAGCGGTTCCTAGCTATAGGCTATTGTTATCATTGTCGTGAGTATTTAGGACAACGAATCTGACCACTGTATTTGATGCTTACGCCACCAAACACCTGCCGAGTGGTCACCAATATGGCAAACA